CAGATGCTCCGCGTGCTCCTTCGTGTTCTTGGAGTAGATGAGAATGTCGTCCAGGTACACCACCACGCACTCGTCCAGCAGGGGCCGTAGGATGTGATTCATCTCTGCCTGAAACGTTGCTGGTGCGTTGCAGAGTCCAAACGGTATCACCAAGTATTTGTAGGAACCGTATCTGGTACGGAACGCCGTCTTGTGGATCGAGTTGTCCGCCATCTTGATCTGCCAGTAACCCGACTGAAGGTCCAGCTTCGAAAAGACTGTTGCACCACGTAGTTGGTCCAGAAGGTCGTCTATGCGCGGTATGGGGTATTTGTTTTTAACTGTCTGTTTGTTCAGTGTGCGGTAGTCGATGCACATCCGTAAACTGCCGTCTGGTTTTGGAGTGAAGAGGACTGGTGCACCGTAGGGAGAGGTGGATGGGCGGATCAGTTGTCTGTCCAGTAGATACTCTATCTGTTTCTTCATGTCTGTCAGTTCGGTCGGACTCAGTCGGTATGGTGCACGTGAGACGGGTTTCGCACCTGGTTCCTCCACGATTTCGTGCTTGTGGGTGCGTGCTGGAGGTATGCCTACAGGTAGGTCGTCGGGCATTGTATCCTTTTACTGCTCCAAGACCTCCTTCACTGCTGCAGGTAGCTCCGTACTCAGCTTCTACTCCTCTACTGCTGCCATAACCAGTGCTAAGTAACCCGTGTTACTCTCATTCACTGTCAGTTCGAACCGTGCCAGTGTCGTTTCAGGAACGCTCCCTGTATCCGTCCAGCTTCGCAGCTCCACTCGTTTCCCGTTGTTGTATATGCACGCCTTCCTGTTGACCCAGTCGATCTTGGGGTTGAACCGCTTCAAGAAATCTCGCCCTAAGATGAAGTCTAAACCCTTGATATTCGTGATCGGCAACGTTGGCTTCCACCTCAGCGCCCCTATGTGCAGCTGCAGTGATGCTTCGCCGTGGATGGGAAGTTTCGTACCGTCCACCATCGTTGCCGTGAACTTGGTCTCCTCCAAAGATTCTCCAATTTTCTCCAACGTCCTACGGTCGCACACCGAGTGAGACGCACCGCTGTCCACCAGTGCCTGGAGGCGTCGCCCGTTGCAGATCACCTCGAGTAGTAGTGGTTGTTGCTGCTCTGAGTAACCGTAGATGGTTTTGCTTATAGGATCATTGGGTACGTCAAATATATCTCCTCTAGGTCCTGCGGTCGAAGCTGCTGACTCCATATCAGTTTTCAACTGAGTTGGGTTAGAAGGATTTATCCGAGGCCGATTCAGCTTCGTCTTGGTCTGGAACCTTCTCTTAAGCCTTTGCAGCTGTGTAGGCTTCACCTGTGAGCAATTGGGAGCCTTAACACTGTGATGCGGGGAGAGAATATTAACTCCTTGGAACGCACGACCCTTTTCAACGCTCCGGAGTGGTTTGCCCAACTTCTTAGGTACCTGAATAATGTCTGAAGGCTTTTTCTTGGCCTTGAAATCTCCCCTGAATTTTTTTAAGGCTTGAAAACCTCGAGATAAAATATTCTTACTCTCGGGGGTGTTCGGCTGGAGTTTCCCGGTCGGTGCAGAGTCTTGTTTCGCGGAGCCTCCATTTGTCTCGGCGATTTCCTTTGTTGCCGGCCGGTCGTGACGTTTGAAATTCACGCCATCGTGTCCTCCTTTTTTCGCCATCATGGATGTCGCACTGTTGTTGCCCTGCAGCTCTGCTCGTGCCTTCTTCATTTTCCAACACGCCAAGAGTCGATGTCCTGCTGCGACGCAAAATTCGCACTTCTCATATTTTGTCGGCCGCTGCTTCGCGTCGATCTTGTCGATATCCATCGGGTCGGCGGTCGTGGGTGGTGCCGATCGCTTCGTGCCAAATGATCTGTTCGGCATGTGGCGTCGTGTCTCGGGTTGATCTCGCGTCAGCGCATCGAATCTCTCTGCTGCACACACCATGTCGCGGTAGTTGTTGTAGTTTGCGGCAATCACCTGTCGGCAGACTTCCGTTTTTAGCCCCTCAGTATACGCTTGGATTTTTTCCCCTTCGGTCAGGTCGGTAATTCGGTTGAAGAGGCTCTCCATCTGCTGCGTGTACTGTGTTACACTGCCGAACTGTTTATGCCGATGAATCTGCTGCCGCGCCATGTAGATGGAGTTGATTGGTTCGAAACGTTGAATTAAAGCTTCCTGAAACTGCGTCCATGACCCCTCGCCTCGGACCTCGTTGCTATTGTAAATCCACTCGAGCGCCGGGCCTTGTAACAGTGTCGCTACGAGCCGAATCCGCATTGCATCGTGTGTCGGGGTCGTACAGCCAACGGCCTCGAAGTAAATTTCGAGGGTCGCAATGAATCGATGGAAGTCGGTGTCTCTCGCATTCGGATTGAACGTCTCCGGTTGCCTCGGACGTGCCGCCTCAAGATTCACTGTAGCCGCTGCCGCTGCTGCTGGGTGAAGTGTCGGTGTTGCCGCTGCTGCTGCTGACGTTGCTGCTGCATTCGCGGCTGCGTTCGCTGCTGCCGTGGCGGTTGCCGACTGGTTCGCGAGAAGCGCCTCTATTCGCTGAAGTGCCGCTCGCGTCTGGTCAAAGTCGGTGTGTAACTCCGTAATTTTTCGTACGGAATTATCACCATTTTCCTCCATTTGGCGATTACAGGAAGATTTGCGACGAAAATAATTGAATTCTAGGCGCTGGTCATCTTACTGTGAGTCGGATCGACTGTAGAATTGACGAGCGCTAGTTCTGTATTTCGCGTAATTCTCCCTTAGTCGAAATTCGCGTCCGATCTCGGCCGTTGAGAAGAAATTCGATCCGACGCTCCAAATTCCAACTTTTTTGGGCGAAATTCTCGAGGCCGTTGAGATTCGAATCGATCCGACGGTCAAAATTCCGGCTTTTTCGCCACCGGACATGAGGAGTGTTCGAAAACCGGTTCGAGGGGGACGTTAGAAAATAGCGCGGAACTGGTTTACGTACCTGAAATCGGCGCTTTCCGTCGTCGCCCCCGCGGTTTTAAAAGCTAGGTTTTAGCGGTCGAAAAACTTCGCGTCTCAGCAGGCTCTGATACCAAGTGTGAGGATCTAGGATCGAGCTCAGAAAAGAGAATTGAATTGAATGATCACCTGGGTACAACACGAGGCTATATATAGGCTCGACACAAGGCCCCGTAACCAGGTGTTACGCGAAGGTTCCGCGGGTCGCGAAGCGTCCCGAACAGATCCTTCCCGAATTCGGTAGAAGGCAATTCGGTGGCAACCTAAAAGCCAGAATTCGGTGCACGCAACCTAGCTCGGTGCTATAACTATAATTAAATATATGAAAGCACCTAGCCTAGGAAATCAAGCAATTCGTGCATGCATATGATTATCCTATGCTAGAAATAGCATAATAAGGTCTAGGCAAGCAAGCATAGCTGGCATAAGCCGTCGTACTCTCACAGTAGTGTCACGGGTGTTGGCAAAGTAATGTAGACAGCGGTCGACCTCATACCAGTGGTTGTCGCTCCTCACTGTCAGGCCGCTCCCCAGCTTGCTGTATGCAAAGGCAATGTCCGGCCTCGTCGTCGTCGCCGTGAATTGCAGCAAGCCCACCTTCTGCCAGTACTCCTCCTCTTCGGGCGACTGCGCCTCTTTCTCGTCGAACGCCAGCTCTGCGTAGGTGTCGACGGTGGCCGTCGTCTTCGGCAAGCGACCGGCCTGCTCCTCGTCGATGAACCGCCGACACAGCTTATCGACGTAGGACTGCTGGTGAAGTTAGTTGCCGGTTGATCGTGCACAAGGCATGTCGCGCGCAGCGCAGGCAGCTGGGCGCGCGGGTCGCGCCTAGGGCAGCGCGCTTGCAGCGTGTCGGGCAGCGCGTGAGACATGACAGGTGCTCCAGCGTGGGGCAGGGCGGCTCTAGCGGGCGGCCGGGTCGCAATCGTGAGGGGCAGGGCAGAAAAACGGTCAGAATAGAACGAACGGTGGGCCCTAAAAAAAATCATTTGATTCTAGGGACCTACGTGCTCTGAAACCACGTCAGAATCTAGCGAGCATGAATGAATGAACTATGAGAATGTTTGGTACAACTACTAGCCCTAATGGGTTATACCCCTTGTAGGCTACCCCACTATAGCCTAGTGATAATACTCAAACATGCAGTTTTGACAGGGAGGAAGACACGGGGGATGATGTGAGGCTGTTATGGTCGAGGCCTGTGCTTGGTCAAATGATGCTGTTAGGATCTATAGTAACTGTATGCCCCTCATGCAACACCGTGAGATTGTTTTTTACTAATTCCTCTTGAACTAATATCTCATTTGAATACTTGAATTGCGTCAAATCATTCGGCAATGATAACTTCTGTACAGTCAACATGCGTTTCTTGATATTTAGTCCTCCATGATACATGTAGGCAAGTGGTTGTATCGGGTATCTGACAAAGCGGATTCAGTATGGTGCAGCTCGTTGGAGAGGGTTGCAAGCGAGGAGTCTGATGAAATTGGCTCATGTCACGAGCCACAACACACCTTCATGTGACCATGGCTATCTGTGTCACACGAACACTGCTGTTGAATCAAAATCACGTGGTTGACTCCAGAGTGTGCTCCGTGGTAACCCCCATCACCATGAACCGTGGCGCATAACGGCATGTGCTGCGTGTGTTGCTGGATTCGCGTGGACTTGCTCGGTACTTGCTGAATTAAACCGAGCCATGGGAGTTAGCGTCGTCCATTGTTTGATCCAGGGACGATGCGCGGATCGTCGAGCCACATGTGCATACCCCGTGCCAGATGGCTGACCCTAATCCCCAGTTTCAGATTGCTCCTGGCGCTCTCGTTTCTCGCAGAAGCCTGCGTGAAGGTGAAGCATACCATTCGGGTCCCTTTACTCATCAGCGACTCCCCCTTTGGACTCTATCACCTAATGCTGTGCAAACGCCTCACACATACCCGGAGCTTTTATTACGTAATATCGTGTTCGTGGCGTTGTTTATTATTTTCTACTACGTTTGTTTCGTTTCCGTTGACACGTGGCAACAGGTGAGAGCCGTGCAGCCACGCGTGGCGATCTGTCTCATTGGCGGGGCCCGTCACTTTGAGCTCACAGCGTCATCTCTCAAGCGGTAAGGCAACGGAGTCCTCTCCTTCTCGCTCACTCTCGTGCTCCACTTGCTCCTTTCGCCTCGCTCGCACCTTCTTCTCTAGTTGGCGTCAGTCGCACATCCCTGCACCTACAGCTCACATATCTCACCGAATAATATTTGCAATTGCAACAGTGCAACATGAAGCCCCCTCTTCTACACGTATTCCCACACTCCCGCACGTCTCGTCCTGTCATCAATATCTTCCGCCATCCTGGTCACCTGCTCCGTCCGCCACTTCATCCTCACGTGTCTGTATCACCTCGGCAGGCTTGCCGTCATCCCTCACGCACCCACTTCATTCCACTATGCTTCCACAGCAGCCATTGCCGTCCAGTTTGTGTCAAATTCTCCCGCACTTACAGCCCTCCCCCGCTGCCCACGCACGTCCATCCGCCTGCCCTCCTCTCCCCTTTCAAGCACGTCCTTCCAGCATCCCCGCCCTCTCACACATACATCTTGAATCATCTCAAAAGCAGCCCAGTCCACCACACAATCACTCCCCGCCTCCTCGTATCCCTCTCTCCAGGCACCTCCTATCAGCAGACCCAGCATCACATGCGTTCATTGTCGTGACTCTGGATGGGGAAGTAGCCCGCTCTGATCTATAAGTCGACTGAAAACCCCCGACTTCCCATAACCCTCTCTCCAGGCACGTCCTATCAGCGTACCCGGGCTCGCACGCGTTCATCATCGCGTCTCTGGATGGGGATGCCAAGAAGCTCGCGCTGCTGGCGGCCCATCCCGCTGTGGTCTCTGTGTTCGTGAGGCAGCAAGTGCGGATCAATGAGAGTCGCTTCCCCACGCACGTCCTGGCCGTGCCCAGTGTCCAGGTGGGTGTGGGGTGGGTGAGATGTGGCCTTGCATGCACTTCAGGTGTGCTTGTGTGCGCGTGCGCGTGTGGGCGCATGCGAACATATACCCATGTGGATGTGGGATGTTACATGCAACTATGGTGACAGCGCTAGCAACATGGGCATTCTGAAATTCGCGTGATATTCCATTTTCTTGGTTTAGGTGCAGAGGCTGGATGTGCGTGCACGGGGTACTACTCCCACTTTCAGCATGCCCAGTGAACTCACTATCAACCATGTGAATCTCCCTTCTTTTGTAACCGTCATTGCTCTGTTTCAAGTGCAACTGTATCATTTTTCTTTGTGCCGGATCTTGCTCTGTTGTATAATTCCAATTCCCCATAACAGGGCCAGCTGCATCAGTTTCTCAAAGTGGAGCAATGCGTTGCAGCCATTACTTCATTCGAGCACTATCATCAGTTCAAGTACACATGGGTTCTTTGGACAAGACTTGACACGTACTGGACCGCTCCTCCTCCACCATTGGATTCGCTTGATCCCACGGCCTATGTTGTGCCACGTGGCAGTCCGTGGGGTGGTCTCAACGACCGCTTCGGCATGGCGCGGCGGGACATAGCATTGGGTGCTTTGAAACGGTGAGGTTGGTCGTTTCGTGCATCTGGGTGTGTCAGCGTGTGTTCAGGTGTGGTGTGGTGGGCGTGCGGGGAATCAGCAATTACATAGTTCGGTGCAGCCACTAGCCTTACAAGCCCCGTCTCTCTCCCATTCACCATTTTTACACTGCGCCACCCCACGTCCGGCCCCCCAATCCCCCTTCACCCACCCTCACTGCTGAACCATCACACAGCCTGTCGTCCCTCCACCAGCTAGCACAGGCCAACCTATCCCAGCTAAATGGGGAGAAAGCCCTTCAGCACCAGTTGCGGCTGCAAGGCATAGCAGCCACGCCCTCTCCCCTGCCCTTCTGTGTGCTGTCCTTTCGCCGGAAGCTCTTCAACGGCTATGTCTTTGCTCCTCTTCGTTCCGAGAGTGCTGCTGATGGGATCTCGTGTCGGCCCTGCCATCCCATGCCCGTGGAGGAGAGGTGCAACCCATGGCGAGGGTACGAGCCAGGCTGGCAGCATATCTTCCTCGAAGGTGCAGCAGCGGAGGAGAAAAGCACCCTGGACTATGCATCGCGGTTGAGCGGGGAGTTAGTATGTGAAGAGGAATGGGAGCGATGGCGAAAGAAGGCTCACGTATGGGATTGCGCTACTGCTCATGATATTTGTGGGGCTGTGTCAGAATGTACCAAGAGAATATGCAAGATGCTGTAGGCAGGGCCCAAATTTCAAGGGTATTTTACCCTTTTTGCCCTGCTCATAGGCCACTTTTTGGCAGTTACCCTTTTCAAATCAGGGTATGCAGATTTTTACCCTAGTGCAATCAGAATACGCTTAAAAGTACTCTTGTAGCTTTTCCAGTTACACTGACTGTATCAGGGTAGGGGTTCAACTACCCTTTTACCGGAACTTTTCCGTACCGCGGATTCCGCCACAGTCCGCGCCACGACGAAATGCTCCACGGTCCCACTGGACCATTTGTTGGATACACCCACTGGCGCGCCAACGTACATTCAGGGCGGATGGCACCGCACACCTACGATTGGTCCGTTGAGCGACATTGAAGCCAACGCACCCAGTTTCCGTGCGTCACGCAACATCGCGCACTGCCAACGGAGGCAAATTGCGCGCCAGGTGGGGTACGTGCTGTCGTTTCCACCACCTGGCAGTCACTGTGGCCTTGCAGCCATTGCCGTGCAGTTCCCTACCAGCGAGGGAACCTTGCTGCCTGAGGCGCCTTGGGCTTTGTGATTCCCGAGGGGTCTCTCAGGCTCTTGCCATTCTCTCGTTTCCCTCTCGTTTGTTGTTCCGAATGCCTGCCTCTGAGTCTGATCCGCCTGGTAGCACCAGGAACGGTCTCTCCGTTCTCGGTGTGTTACCTCGGCTGGCTGAGAACTATAGCGTCCCTATCTCTCAGCCTGCGCGTGAGCCATCCCCTGAATTTCTTGTCGGCACCGTTTTCCCGTGCGAGCGTTCGGCCTCGCCAAAGTCCCGAGAGCCACACCCGTCTCTCGAGCTTGTTCCCGATGGCGGCGAAGGCCCGTCGAAGCCGGCCACTGCAGCCCCGTCCACAATTAGCTCCGCGCCCGCGAAGCGACAGCGTGTGGGCGTGACATACAAGCAGCAGAGGCTCTGGGGCGCCCCTCCTCCACGACAAGAGGCATCACCGCCACGCCGTGCTGCTCCTGCTCAGCCGAAGCCTCCAACCGCTTCTGCAGAGGCTGAGTATGAGTTGGTAAAAACGACTTTCGATTCGCAATGGTCAAAGAAATTCAGTTGGCTGCGCTTAATGCGCATGACTAACGGCAGGCCGTCATTGAAATGTGCCATCTGCATCAAGCACGGGGATCCAAACGCGCACACTGCCTACGGCGTCAGAGGTGAGGGTGCCCGAGACATGCAGCTAGGGAGCATCCGCGCACACACATCAAGCAGAGCCCACAAGCAGGCCTTGGAAAACGAGGCCAAAGCAGACGCGGAAAAGGCGAAGCAAGCCACACTAACAAGGTGGCAGAGCACTGATGCAGCTACACGGCACATCATCCGCTGCCTCCACCTCGCGCTCTTCATCTGCAAGGCTGACGCGCCAATAGCAATGTTTGTTCCTTTGTGCTGGTTTCTGGCTAAGGAAGGACTGCCGGACCTTCCACCGTCTGGAGGGTACGGCGCCTACTACACCGAGTAAGTGCGGGTTCGTGGCGCTTGTGTTTGTTCCGTGACTCAAGCTGACCAGATGCTACTGCAACTTGTGTTCGTGTACCATGTGTGTTGTCCTCGCAGCTACGGATTCAAAGAGATGCTGCGCGCAACCTCCACTTACCTTCAAGAGACTCAACGCGGCCACCTTCTGGAATCCCCATATATAGGGATTCTTCTGGATGAGAGCACCGACCGGGTGAATGGCAAGCACCTAATACTGTATGCGACATTCTTCAAAGGGGTAACTTCGGTAACGGAGTTTTTAACTCTCATTACCGTGGACCGTGCCGATACGGCCTCGCTAACCTCCGCTGTTGTGCAGTACCTTACAGGAATCGGGGTGGATCTCCAGAGGATTTCTGGAATATCTACGGACGGGGCGAGTGTGATGACCGGCAAGAACAACGGTCTAGTCGCGAGGCTGCGACTGCGCATACCACACCTGGCTTCAACTCACTGCGTCGCTCACAGGTACGCATGTTGGATTCTGAGTTTTTTCCAGCACAGGATCAGTGACGCGCAAACCGTACTAACATGCTCCAGTTGAATGCGCAGGGAGGCATTGGCAGCTAAGGATGCGGCGGAGGCAGTCCCCGAGCTCGGCATGGTGGACGACGTGGTGCGTGCCTTCTCCGAGCACATCGGCCGCAGCAGCGTGGACTACACCAAGTTTCAGAATCTCCAGCGCATCTACTGCCAGACGAATCTGGAGGCGCAGGGCATAAACGACGTGCGCTGGCTCTCCCGTGGCGAGGCGATCCAGCGGTTCCTTGACGTTCTGCCTGCCGCCATTGTCGTGCTGAAGGACTACAAGAAGGACTTGTACGAGGTAGTCACCTCGTTCAAGTTCCACTGGCTCATCCGCTTCCTCGCGGATGTGCTCTGGGAGCTCAACCAGCTCAATCTGCGCTTTCAGCAACGTCAGGTAACCAACTGACAAGCACAGTTGTACTTACACGCACGCCTACAATGCTCTTTCTGACCGCATGTCTTATGTGTGTGCAGGTGGACGTCACCCTCGTGGCGCACCTTGTACAACAGACGTGGACGCGCCTGAAGACGCGCTACTTCGACAGGTCCCCTGGTCATTTTTTTGGCAGCGGAGAGAAGATGCAGCTGCCTGACTTCATCAAGGCTCACCAGAAGATGGATAAGCGACAGATGAAAGCGGAAGGCGTGGACGCGGACGGCAACGCCGTCTCCTTCGAATTCACCCTGCACGAACGCCCCCTGCCAGGCCATGAGACAGACGGTGATGTAACCGCGTGCTTCGAGCTTTCGCTCAAGTTCATCCGCAAAGTGGACGCGGAGCTGGAGTGGCGCATGCGCGACCTCAACCTCCTCGAAGGCGCCAAGCTGTTTCGTACGGCGTCGTATGTGGCCGACGACACCCAGCGGCTGGAGTCCTTCAGGAAGTGGCTTGGCCAGCTCCACAAGCTGTACAACCACAAGCTGCCTGGTAAGCGTGTTTGTTAGATGGGGCGGGTATTAGTGATTGACTTGCGTAAACAGCTTTGCACCAGCTTGTTTCCCATCGCGCTTGTTGCTACTCATCACCCGGCCCTGTATTGTGGACTAATGCCTCCCAATCCTACCCGTATGTATGAGCGTCTGCCAATGATCATCCCCTTCCGCACTACCAGGGTTCGACTACAAGCGTGCCGGCCAGGAGCTCTGGATGTTTACCTCGACCATGTTCTCCCAGCACAACGGCGAGGAGTTTCATCAGGCGCTGGGGAACATGCTGCGCGACGAGGCGTGGCGTGCGTCGTTCCCCAACATCGTCCGGATGTGGCAGTCTGTCGCCGTGCTACCACTGAGCACGGTTGAATGTGAGCGCGGCTTCAGCAAGCAGAACCTGATCAAGACGTGGGACCGCGGCAGCCTCGGCGACACAAGCCTTGAGCACCTGATGCGGTGCTCCCTCCTGCAGTACGACATTGACTGGTATGAGGTGGTCGCCATATTCCGCGGGGAGAAGCTCAGGCGATCCACCAAAGACTTCTCCGGCATGAAGGCCAGCAGCACTAAGCAGTTTGCAGACGAGGCAGTTGCTAGTGCAGCAGATGTTGATTGACTAGTGTCTTCTGTAGGGCCCTTTATTTAACTTGGTTGGTAGTAAAGCTTGTAGGTGCAGTGCAGAACACTTTAGTGATAACTAAGTAATTGTTGTAGTAGTACAATCTTATGCTTAGGAAGGAAACAGTGTACGACATATATTATCCTGCCAAAATCAGTGTACCAAAACTTTTAGGCTGCTACAATCAGTGTACGAGAAACTTTACCCTACCAGTCAGGGTACGGAGGGGATGCCACCCTGATTTGAAAGAGTGAGCTAAAACCTATTTTGGGCGTTGGCTGTAGGGATTTATCAGAATCTCATTGTATCATAAAATACCAATTTGTGTAGTCGGCAAATCAGTAGAAAGGTAGGAGGATCGGCCTAAATCAACATACCGAAGTGGGGAAAATACCGTATTCTCCCGGATAAAATACCCTCTTCGAGACTAGGCAGGAAATGGGATGACTATCAGAATCTCATTGTATCATAAAATACCAATTTGTGTAGTCGGCAAATCAGTAGAAAGGTGGGAGGATCGGCCTAAATCAACATACCGAAGTGGGGAAAATACCGTATTCTCCCGGATAAAACACCCTCTTAGAGACTAGGCAGGAAATGGGAGACTAGGCAGGAAATGAGTGATTTTGGTACAAAGAAGAAACCTAAGGGGTTGTACCCCACAGTATCTACCCCACTACAGCCTACCTAAAAACTATAACATATGTATATGTTTGACACACCCCCATAGGCAAAGTGGGGGAGAGGTCACAAG